CCAATCCGAGCTACAGAACATCAGCTCAGATTGCTGAATGTCACACCTCAAATCAACAGCAGGTCCAGAATAGAACTTGGAGCCTTGGCTACCCCTCCTGCTCTAGTCAGCACATGTCACTTCCTTACCCAGGAAGTTATGGTGTTGTTTTTTTGTTTTCCCTAGGAGGTTTCCAACACTATTTTAAACTCTTTGGACTCAAGCAACAGGATTTGACTATGGTCACAGCCTTGAAACTGTGTGTGGGAGGCCTGGACCTTACTTCTAGCATCACATCTTTTTTAAATGGTCTCAACGAGGCCCAGATTAATACAAGTGGTACAATGAACTTATGTCTTGACTTGTCTCTTAGTGATCCAGGAAGGAGGATCACAGAGAAATTTCTAGGTTTTCCACATACAGGATCACAGAAGCAGATTATTCGGGCTAAAATCAGCCTAAGCATAATCATGTGACACATGTGCTATGCTGACTATAAATCACAATTCAGCATGGGAATTCTCATTATTAGGTACTCTTTGGCAGTATGTATGTTCTCCTTTGACTTTCCTGGCAAGACCCTAGTGAGCCAAGGGCACTAGCTCAGGCTAGGGTCTGAGAAGCCAAACACCCTTGGGGGAGGGAGGGTGGTGGAAAAGGCTGGCTGGCAGCTTCAGCAGGTGGTATAAAGGGGAACTGAAGGTGAAGTCTAGGGTGAGGGAAGGACTGGTCCAGGCAGGATTACTCAACAGCATGTGCTCAGGGAACTGGCAAAACAAGAACAACAACAAATATTTTAAGTTATTTTATATTTATCAAAGTGGTAACCATGGTAAAAATCAGAATTTTGCTGCATTTTCTTTACATTTTGCTAGGTTTCTTTATACTTATTTTGCATTTACACTGTTTTTAAAATACATACTGAGGGATGAAAGTATGAGGGACATCATAATTTTTCTATTGCTTAAGACTGTTAAACAAATTCTTAATCTGGCCTCTAACTTCAGGAACAAGCAAGGAAAGCCAAGAGTTTGAACTTTCCAGGTCAATATTCATTTCTTCATTCAATAAATATTTCTTGAGGGATTAGTAAGTATCAGGCCTTTGCTCAGTCCTGGGATGCAGCAGCAAACAAAAGAGATGTGGTTCCCGGAGTTCAGTTTAGTGAGAGTGGGTAAGAACAAGAACAGAATCTAAAGCCAAAAGTCTTATTGGAAAAGAGGCAAGATTCCACAGCCAGCAATGAAATGCCAATAGAAAAGCCCAGGGGCAGGCAAGAAGTTATTCAGGGAGATGAGCTGGTTCAGAAAATGGTCTCATCCCCTCACTCACTTTGACAGGGGAGACAGCCACTGTGGTAGGTTGAATTCATCAATATAAGTGCCCTCACAGCCAATGCCACCATGAAACTGCCCCTTCTCTGTTCACAGCCATGTAACTATAAGCTATGTGCAAGATCTTGAAAGCTCCAAAGAAAAACACAAGATTTGAATTGTCTACTGACAGAAATTCTAGAAGGTATACCACGCCAGAAGTGGGAAGTACAAAACCAAATGCCAGAGGCAGCTGGGGGATCCTCCCCCAACATTGTCACTACACTTCTCTGACACTGCACGAAAAGTAAAAATAAAGACACAATAGGAGAGGGAAAATAAAGGGGAGCAGGGAAGAGGGATTGAAGAAGAGATCGGGTGAGATGGTCAGGCTACAGTCAGAAGCCTCGTGAGAGGAGTTTCTGATTTACAGTATGAAGCAGGCAAGACATGAAGAAAGGCTATGGCCTGATGTGTTAGAAAAATGAGTCACAGGCCAGGTGTGGTGGCTCATGCCTGTAATCCCAGCACTTTGGGAGGCTGAGGCAGGTGGATCACAAGGTCAAGAGATCGAGACCATCGTGGCCAACACAGTGAAATGCCATCTCTACTAAAAATACAAAACTTAGGTGGGCGTGGCGGCGTGTGCCTGTAATCCCAGCTACTCAAGAGGCCAAGGCAGGAGAATTGCTTAAACCCGGGAGGCGGAGGTTGCAGTGAGCCGAGATTGCGCCACAGCACTCCAGCCTGGTGACAGAACGAGACTCTGTCTCCAAAAAAAAAAAAAAAAAGGGGGCCGAGCAGAGTCACTCACCCCTGTAATCCCAGCACTTTGGGAGGCCGAGGTGGGTGGATCACGAAGTCAGGAGATTGAGACCATCCTGGCTAACACGTTGAAACCCCATCTCCACTAAAAAAGCTGGGCATGGTGGCAGGCACCTGTAGTCCCATCGGGAGGCCGAGGCAGGAGAATGGCGTGAACCCGGGAGGCAGAGGTTGCAGTGAGCTGAGATCGCGCCACTGCACTCCAGCCTGGGCGACAGTGTGAAACTCTGTCTCAAAAAAAAAAAAGAAAAGAAAAGAAAAAAGAAAAATGAGTCATTCCAGCAGCTCAGCTCCAACACGGTCAAAACGTGATGGCCATGGTAAAGGTGGAGAGCCAACAACAGCAACAGCAGGAGGTATAGAATCTATGCACAGCCAGCACAGTAGGGGCCTACAGAGATCTCAAAGTGTTTGACTTCTCTGGGCCTCAGTTTCCTTTATCTGAAAATGAAGATAGTAAGAGTGTACTTTAATTACCTAGGACTGCCATAAAATTACCACAAACTACATGGCTTAAAACAACAGAAATTTATTCTCTCGCAGTTCAGGAAGCTACAAGTCTGAAATCCAGGTGTCAGTAGGGCCATGCTCCCTCTGAAGGCCCTAGGGAAGAATCCTTCCTTGTCTCTTCTAGTTTCTGGTGGTCGCTGGCAATCCTTGGAGGGCTGCAGCCATTCCTTAGCTAGCAGCAGCATAACTGCAATCTCTGCCTCCATCTTCATGTGGCCATCTTCCCTCTGTGTCTCTCTCTTCTTATGACAACACCAGTCACTAGACTAGGACTTTCCAGTTAAACTTCATCTCAACTTGATTATATGTGCAAGGACCGTATTTCCAAGTAAGATCACATTCATAGGTTCTGGGGCAACATGAATTTTGGGGGATACTATTCAATTCGGTACAGAGCACCAACCTCCTAAGAAGTTTATACATGTAAGGTATTATACTTAGGACCATGACTGGCACACAATATGTGTTGTGTAAAGGTTGGCTACTCTTCTTCAACATCTCTGGCAGGTAGCTGTTGCCAAAAGGGTATGTAGGTGTGTTCTGTTATGTAAGAATCACCCTCCCTCCATTTTGAGTCAGAGGCAAGAAACTGAATGAAACTAGAGTTCTGAAATAAGCAGATTAGGGCAGAGCTAGAGCACATGTTTATTACCATTCAGTACCCCTTATCAATATCCTAGCAATATTCTCAGGTTGGAGTGAAAAAATACCTGCTACAAGCACTTGTTTTTTGAACAACATAGACTTTTATCATTCCAAATGAACAATGGCCCTTCAAAGCATTCCCTTGTTAGGATCTGCCTTGGAAGAGCCTTCAGAGCCAGCCAAGAAGCTGCAGCAGAGAGACAGCAGTCTCGTAACTTACAATTCAGACTGTGAGTTCTGATCCCAAACTGTTTTACATGGTATATTCACCCCATGGTTTGGTAATGAAATGACCTTTGGCTGTATCCAAACATTAAATCCATTCTCTGAGATGGAGATTTGCTATTTCTGAGGATGTGATATTCAAAATAACAAGCCACTTTCAAATTAGGGAAGAGGAGAACAGATTAAAGGCTCCTGCTCTTACTTCTCCTTCTTTAATGAATGAATTTGGGACAGCTACCCAACTGGAAAAAACATATAAGGCGGGACGCGGTGGCTCAGGCCTGTAATCCCAGCACTTTCGGAGGCCGAGGCAGGCAGATCACAAGGTCAGAAGTTCGAGACCAGCCTGGCCAACATAGTGAAACCCAGTCTCTACTAAAAATACAAAAGTTAGCCTGGAATGGTGGCACGTGCCTGTAGTCCCAGGTACTTGCAAGGCTGAGGCAGGAGAATCGCTTGAACCCGGGAAGCAGAGGTTGTGGTGAGCCGAGAACATGCCACTGCACTCCAGCCTGGACAACAGTGAGTGAGACGTCGTCAAAAAAAAAGAAAAGAGAAAAGAAAAAAGAAATAAAGCCAGATTCCAACCACTCTCTTCATATCAAAATAAATACCAGATGGATCAAAGATTTAAATTTAAAGATAAAAGATTTAAACACACAGAGTACTCAAAAAGAACAAGTAACTATTTTTATAATTTTGAGGTGGGGAAGCATGCTTTTTCTAAACATTGGTCTAGTAGCAGAAAAAATAATAAGGGAAGAGATTTTCTGACTACCTAAAAATGTGAAATTTGCATACAGAAAAAAAGTTGCATAAACAAAGTTGAAAGGAAATGACAAAATGGGAACAATTCTGTATTATATATGATAGTCGACATGTTAAATCTTACAAATAAAAAAAAATTATTGGAAAAAATGTGCAGGCAAGGTGCAGTGCTTCACACCTGTAACCCCCAATGCTTTGGGAGCCCAAGGCGGGAGGAGCACTTCAGTCTAAAGTTCAAGATCAGTCTGGGCTGCAAGAACCCATCTCTAAAAAAAATAAAAAATTAGCCGGGTGTGGCAGCAGGCACCTGTAGTCCCAGCTGCTCACGAGGCTGAGGTAGGAAGATCTCTTGAGCCCAGGAGTTCAAGGCTACAGTTAGCTATGATTGCACCACTGCACTCCAGCCTAGACAACAAACCAAGACCCTTCCTCTCTAAGAGAAAAAAAAAAAAAAAATTCAAAAGTCATAACTGATTTAAAGAAAAAATAGAAAGGTCCAAAATACATCTGAAAATTCAACCTTTAATATTCAAATAAATGAAAATTAAATCATACTTATTGAGTGCTATGTTTCAGTTACTATTTATTCTAAGCATTTTACTTGGATTTATTCTTCACAATAACCCTCTAAAATAAGTGCTATCATTACCTCACAATAACCCTATAAAACAGGTGCTATCATTATGCCTACTTTACCACGATGAAATTGAAGAACAGAGAAGGTAAATGACTTACCTAAGGTCACCCAGTTAGTAAATGGCTGAGTCAGAATTCATCCCCTAGCAGGCTGGCTCCAAAGTCACATTCTTAACCACTGTGGTACAAGACCATGTCTTACCTGTTAGATGAAGAAGACAAAAAATACAACACCCAATGTTATCAAAAGCATGGGAAAACTGGCAATCTCATGTGCTGCTAATATAAGTTTACATTCTTAAGGGTAGTTTGGCTCCATGAATTGACATTTAAAATATGCATACCATTTAACTCAGCAGGTGAATTTCTTGGAATTTATCCTGAAGAGATAGTGCACAAGCATGTAGAGATGTATATATCAAGTGTTTATCACAGAATGCTCACAATAATCAAAATATTGCAAATAAAAAGCCCAGTAAGTATACCAAATGTCCAACAAATTCATTCACTCAACAAATATTTATTGAGCATCAATGATGTACCAGGAACTGTTCTCAATACCAGGTATAGAGCATGGATAAAAGAAAAAAGGGCCAGGCATGGTGGTTGACGCCTGTAATCCCAGCACTTTGAGAGGCTGAGGAGGGAGGATTGCTTGAACCTAGGAGTTTGAGACCAACCTGGGCCACACAGTGAGACCCCCATCGTTAGAAAACATTTTTTAAAATAGCTGGGTGAAGCAGCACATGCCTGTAGTCCCAATTACTTGAGAGGCTGAGGTAAGAGGATCACTTAAACTCAGGAGATGGAAGTTGCAGTGAGTCGAGATCACGCCACTGCACTCTAGTGTGGGTGACAGAGCGAGACCCTGTCTCCAAAAAAAGGGGGAGAAACACTCATTCTATGATACAGAATGGGATGCTGCCTGATTCTAGCATAACAAAACAATCTTTAAAATAAAAATCCCCGTCTTCATGGAGCTTATATTCTAATGGAGGGAAGTTAGGCAATAAGCAAATAAATGAGAAGAGTATATATCAGGTGATGCTAAATGCTATAGAGAAAAATACAGAAGGGAAGAGAGATAGGGAAGAAAGGGGGATTGTTATCTTGTTAAGGGAGTCAAAGAAGACCCCACTGATAACAGATAAAACAAATGGATTAAATATTAGAGAATAATAGCAGTATGATATATCCACTCACTGAACAATAATTCAGCCCTTTATTCTGTATTTATTGACATGAAAATGTCCTCAATCAAGTGAAATCAAGTGAAAAAAGATGATAAGACAGTAACAAGGTATGACTCCACTGATATAAAATTACATGTATATATATGCTCATATTCCAACTGGGAGAGTGGACCAACATCTAACAAGATTAATACTGAGTAAGGGTCCAGGCTGAGTGCCAGGCAACAGGATAAGCAGTATGTTTGTTCACACATCCATTCACTGATCCTCCTCCCAATACTTATACTTTGCTCCAGAAATAATTTAAGAACAGCAAATCTACACCCCCCCCTCAAGTTCTTTCTCTCTCTCATCCTTTCTCTCTTCTTCCCAGAAGCCAGGCCAGTGACAGTGTGAAAAACGTACATAAAAAGGATGGAAGGAAACCTCTACAGAATCTGGATGGGATTCCTCTTATTTCAACACATAGGAAACAGGTCCTGGGAAGCACAACTCCTCCCTGCACACCTGCAGGATTTGAAGCAAGGCTACCTGACTCAGATTCTCTATTTTATCCCCTACTAAACCCAAGATGCCCTGCAGGGACAGCTGGGAGCAAGCCTGGCTCATCATATGGAGGTGACAGGCCACAGGAAGCCAGAGCTCTACCCTTGGTACACAAGGCCTGTATCTTTCTATGAGCAGAAATGACAGAGTCAAACCGTTTTTGGCCCCTACCCTGTCCTCTCATCCATGCCTGTACTCACAAGCTATCCTGGCTAAGTTAATTCATGCTCAACCCCCCATATTTACCACCTTGCCCACTTACCCCAGAGATTCACAGATTTCCCCAGTAAGAGACTAAGTCCCTACCAAGAAAGCTGCCTAGAGTGACCAGACATGTTAGTTTGATTCAAACATTTCCAGTCTTGGGTGAGGGTAGCCAGGGTTCAGATCTATCTGCTCTTAGATATGTAGGAGCAGACTACACTTCTTGTTTGACCATAAAGCCACAAACAAGGAACTGGAAACTTCCCAAAGGCGAAATCCACATTGTTGTTGCCTGTATGTTTAGCCTGGGGTAGGGGGGGTACAGGCACATGAGTGGAGGCAGGGCACCCAGGGGAAGACTCAACTACTTCAAAACATTTCTCACATACTCTCTGTCACCTTTTGGACAACAACTATAAGCCAGGCTCTGTGTTAAGTGCTTTCATATACTACTGACAAAAAAAGCAAAATCACTTTTATCAAATATTCCTACTACGTGCTACTGAATTTAAGACACCAAAAGTACAGTCAGGTCCAGCTGCCCTGCCGATAGTTAAATATTCAGGCTTGATGTTAAGCAGAGGATAGAAACCTGAGATTCTCTCCTCAGGGTTATCACAGAAGTGTACATACTATCAAGTCAGATTCTTCAGGCTCCAATCTGGCTCCAGCTCTCTTACCTGTGCTTTCAGCAGGAAACATCACAAACACTCATGTACACATCTCAAGTCCCCAACACACTTGGTCTGCAAGTGGAAGAAATTTCCTGCTAGAAATGGGTACCACATGAGGTAGAAAAAACCAAAAGTAATCACACTTCTTCAGCAGAGGAACCTCTTTCTCTCTCCACTTTCATCTCTGCCAAATATGTATTTATTGAACAACTCATATTATGCTCATCACTACAGGATATAAGATGCCTCCTGCCTTCAAAAATTTACTCCATTAGGGAAAACAAAATCAACACATACGAAGCATGTTATAAAAATAAGAGGACCCGCCGGGCACAGTGGTTCATGCCTGTAATCCCAGCACTTTGGGAAGCTGAGGTGGGTGGATCACAAGGTCAGGAGTTCAAGATCAGCCTGGCCAAAATGGTGAAACCTCGCCTCTACTAAATATACAAAAATTAGCCAGGCGTGGTGGCAGGCGCCTGTAATCCCAGCTACTCGGGAGGCTGAGGCAGGAGAATCGCTTGAACCTGGGAGATGGAGGTTGCAGTGAGCTGGTATCGTGCCACTGCACTACAGCCTGGGTGACAGAGTGAGACTTCGTCTCAAAAAAATAAAAAAAATAAATAAATAAGAGGGCTCCAAGATTTCTAGTGCATGGAACAGGAAAAAAGAGATGCTGGTGGGCCGGGCGCGGTGGCTCAAGCCTGTAATCCCAGCACTTTGGGAGGCCGAGACGGGCGGATCACGAGGTCAGGAGATCGAGACCATCCTGGCTAACACAGTGAAACCCCGTCTCTACTAAAAATACAAGAAAATTAGCCGGGCGTGGTGGCAGGCGCCTGTAGTCCCAGTTACTCGGGAGGCTGAGGCAGGAGAATGGCGTAAACCCGGGAGGCGGAGCTTGCAGTGAGCCGAGATCGCGCCACTGCACTCCAGCCTGGGGCACAGAGCAAGACTCCGTCTCAAAAAAAAAAAAAAAAAAAAGAGATGCTGGTAAAACAAATGGAAAAGTATGTAAAATAAGACAAATGGTGGGATGTCCTGGTATATATAGCTATCTTCAATTTCAAATAACCACATCTCCCCTTTTTGGTTCCATTCCTAGTAGAGTGATATTTTACTTCAAGAAAAATCTCCAATACAAACATCTGAGACATAAAGTTGGGGACCATTCACAAGGCAAAAAGGAGTCTCCTCTTTGCTCTAAAGTTAACTAAGATATGATTTAACCACCCCTCAAACTATCCCTGTATCATACATACATACATACACACATATACATACAATGTTTATACCCAACTTTTCAGGATCACATTTATAAGGTGAAGCAAAGTAGTTTTAAAAAGTATTCAGGACAGGCGAGGTGGCTCACGCCTATAATCTCAGCACTTTGGGAGGCCGAGACAGGTGGATCACCTGAGGTCAGGAGTCTGAGACCAGCCTGGCCAACATGGTGAAACCCTGTCTCTATTAAAAATATGAAAATTAGCCAGGCATGGTGGCGCACGCCTGTAATTCCAGCTACTCAGGAGGCTGAGGCAGGAGAATCACTGGAACCCGGGAGGCAGAGGCTGCAGTGAGCAGAGATCGCACCACTGAACTCTGAACGCCACTGGGCAACAGAGCAAGACTCTGTCTCAAAAAAAAGAAAAAGACACGTGCACATGTGTGTTTATTGCAGCACTATTTACAATAGCAAAGACATGGAACCAACACAAATGCCCATCAATGATAGACTAGATAAAGAAAATATGGTACACATACACCATGGAATACTATGCAGCCATAAAAAGGAATGAGATCACGTCCTTTTGCAGGGGCATGGATGAAGCTGGAAGTCATCATCCTCAGCAAACTAACACAGGAACATAATACCAACCACCACATGTTCTCACTCATAAGTGGGAGCTGAACATTGGGAACACATGGACACAGAGAGGGGAATAACACACACCAGGGCTGCTGGGGGGTGGGAGGTGGGGGGTGAGGGGAGGGAACTTAGAGGACAGGTCAATAGGTGCAGCAAACCACCATGGCACACATACACCTATGTAACAAACCTGCACGTTCAACACATGTATCCAGTTTTGGTTTTTTTGTTTTTTAGAATAAAGAAAAAAAATTTTATAAAGGCAGTGTATCAGGTTGGGTGTGATAGCACATGCCTGTAATCCTGACACTTGGGAGGCCAAGACAGGAGGATTGCTTGAGGCGAGGAGTTCAAGACCAGCCTGGGCAACATAGCAAGAAGACTCTGTCTCTACAAAAAAATTTAAAATTAAAAAATAAAATATTTCAAAAGGCAATGTATTGATGAAGAATGGCTAAACTATGATGCATACATAAAATGGAATATTATTCGGCCTTAAACTGGAAAGAAATCCTATCACATGCTATAACATGGATGAACCCTAACACATGCTAAGTAAAATAAGCCCATCACACACACAAAAATACTGTATGACTCTATTTATATGAGGTAGTGAAGTATTCAAATTCATAGAAACAGAAAGTAGAATGGTGGTACCAGAGAGAAAGGAGAGGTAGGGCAAGTAGAGTTGTTGTTTAATGGGTACAGAGTTTCAGTTTTACAAGATGAAGAAGTTCTGGAGATCTGTTGCACAAAATGTGAATATACCTAAGACTACTAAAACGTAAAGACTTAAAAATGGTTAAAATGGCAAATTTTATGTTTGTTTTTTACAATTTCTCATACACTTAAAAATGGTTAAGAAGGTAAATTTTATGTGTGTGTTTTTTACCACAACTGCTTTTTTTTTTTTGAGATGGAGTCTTGCTCTGTCACATAGGCTGGAGTGCAGTGGCACGATCTCAGCTCCCTGCCACTGCAACCTTCACCTCCTGGGTTCAAGTGATTCTCCTGTCTCAGCCTCCCAAGTAGCTGGGATTATAGGTGTGCGCCACCTCACCCAGCTAATTTTTTTTGTATTTTTAGTAGCGACTGGGTTTTGCCATGTTGGGCAGGCTGGTCTTGAACTCCTGACGAGGTGATCCACCCGCCTCAGCCTCCCAAAGTGCTAGGATTACAGGTATAAGCCATCGTGCCCAGCTCACAATTACTCTTTTTAAAAAGGTAATGTTCATATGGGGAAAAAAAAAAATTCAGCAACAGAGAAGGATATTAAAAAACAAAAAGGCCAGGCATGGTGCTCATGCCTATAATCCCAGCACTTTGGGAGGCCAAGGCAGGTGGATTGCTTGAGTTCACGTGTTCTAGACCAGCCTGGGCAACATGGCAAAACCCCATAACTATTGAAAAAAAAAAAAGAAAGAAGAAAAAAGAAAACTTTCAGAAACAGTATGGGTATATAACAAGTATACAAAGTTTCTCCTCTTTTTACATACAAATGCTAACACTAGTACACTAGCCATAAAAACTATTCTGCACGTTAGTTTTCTCTTAATGACAGATCTTGGAGATTGTTCCATACCAGTGTGTTTGTGTATATCTGTGCAATCTTTCTTTTTCCTGCAACCAATCATCCATCCTTTTTTTTTTTTTTTTTTTTTTTTTGAGACAGGATCTTTTTCTGTTTCCCGGGCTGGAGTGCAATGGGATGATCTCGGCTCACTGCAACCTCCGCCTCCCAGGTTCCAGCAACTCTCTTGCTTCAGCCTCCCAAGTAGCTGGGATTACAGGCATGCACCACCACGTCCAGCTAATTACTGTATTTTTAGTAGAGATGGGGTTTCACCACGTTGGCCAGGCTGGTCTTGAACTCTTGACCTCAAGTGATTCACCGGCCTCGGCCTCCCAAAATTTTGGGATTATAGGCATGAGCCACCGCACCCAGCCAGTAAAAAGGTTTTCTTGGGTTTTTTTTGGTTTTTTTAGAGGGAGTCTTGCTCTGTGGCCAGGCTGAAGTGTAGTGGCACAATCTCGGCTCACTGCAACCTCCACCTCAAGTTCAAGCAATTCTCCTGCCTCAGCCTCCCGAGTAGCTGGGACTACAGGTGAGTGCCACCACACCCAGCTAATTTTTTGTATTTTTAGTAGAGACAGGATTTCACCATGTTGGCCAGGATGGTCTTGACCTCTTGACCTCGTGATCTGCCCGCCTCAGCCTTCAAAAGGCTGGGATTACAGGCGTGAGCCATCATGGCCGGCCAGTAAAATGTATTTTTAAAGCAAAACATATTAAGGACTTTGCAGATCAATTTCGCACAGCTTTTCCCTCAACAAATATGTTCAGGCCAGGCATGGTGGCTCATGCCTGTAATCCCAGCACTTTGAGAGGCCGAGGCGAGAGGACTGCTTGAGCCCAGTTCAAGACCAACTGGGCAACATAGATCCCACCTCTGCAAAAAAAGAAATTAGCCAGGCATGGTGGCTCAAGCCTGCAGTCCTAGCTACATGGGAGGGTGAGGTGAGAGGATCACTGCCGCTTGGGAGGTTGAGGCTGCAGTGAGTGGAGACTGCACCACTGCACTCCAGCCTGGGTGACAGTGCTAGCTAGACCCTGACTCCAAAAAAAAAAAAAAGTTCAGATTTCACTCTTTATATATCCTCCAGGAAAACTGAGTTAATGATTGATATTTTCTTTGGTTTGACTTGAGTAACATTTTCACCTCAGCTCATTTCTTTTTTTTTTTCTTCTTCTTTTGAGATGGGGTCTCGCTCTGTCGCCCAGCCTAGAGTACAGTGGCACCACCTCTGCTGTCCTGGCATCCCAAAGTGCTGGGATTACAGGTGTCAGCCAACGCACCTGGCCAAGCTTATTTCTACTAGGCTGTATGTGTTGGCTTTATCAGTACCACAAGGAATCGTGGATACGATCAAGGAAATACATGAAATACACATCATCCTTTCAATGCTATGGTCACTCTTTACACTCTGCTGTCTTTATCAATGGCTTGTCAAAAGTATTCATTTTATTGTGTTTAACTCTGAGGAAATTGAGTCTCACTCTGTCACCCAGGCTACAGTTAACCTCCACCTCTTGGGTTCAAGCAACCTTTACCTCCCAGGTTCAACCAATTCTCCTGCCTCAGCCTCCCAAGTAGCTGGGACTACAGGCACGCGGCACTGCACCCAGCTAATTTTTGTATTT